CCTGGGCACAATGATGCATGCCTGTAATCCCAGAGGTTGGGGAAGCTGAGGCTGGAGGATCATAAGATCAGCAATTTAGTGAGGCCACCAGCAACTTGGTGATACCTTGTCTCAAAATAAAAAATAAAAAGGGTTGTAAATGTGTCTCAGTGGTTGAGTACCACTGGTTCATTCCCTGGTTAAAAAAAGAAATATATATATCAGTGGGCTATTGAAGCCAGCATTAAGAATATATTTACTTTCTACTCTTTGTCCATATATTTAAAAAATATATGTATACATATGGTCAAATAAGGGCTCACCTTTGAAGAAAAGAGTTACTTTATTTCTCAGTAGATCTTACATAATGGCTGAGCTTATGTTCCCTGAAATTTATGGTGTGGGCAAAATAACACCCTTAATCTTTGATTTGAGAAAAATTTGGAAGTCTTGTGCAAATTGGAACTACATATTCTCCTTCAGCAAATAGTGTCAATAATTCTTTTCCTTTTCTTTTTCTTCTTCCTCCTCCTCTTCCTAATAAGTACTCTTTACTAGAGGAATGAGAAGGCCCCTTGCCTTATTTATGGTATTATTTGTGAAGCCAGCATTAAGAATATATTTTAGTTTCTACTCTTTGTTCAAGAAGAATCCAAAGATACTTGTAATTATAGAAAAATATACTGATTTAGTGTTTCATGATGTAAACTGTCTTCAAAATATCACTTATTTTAGCAGTACCAATCACTCACTGGGGCAAGTTGATTTAAATATGTAACCATCTCCCATAATAATAAGGAAATATTAATACAAATCACCAATAATGTATGCCTTATTCAGTGCACAATGATAAGGCATTTGATTCTATTTCCTTGACATTTCACATACTAGGATATTTGCCCATTTTCTTCCCCATGTAATTAAAGTTAATCTCTTTTACTAACTTAATTTTAGAAATCTTCCACCTTTTCTTTTTATTCCATTTTTTTCAGTATACACATACAGAGTTCATTAGCTTGTGTGTGTCTGTGTTTTTTTTTTAATGTGTTGCCCTGCTCAGGACCATTTAATTGTGCCTTCTCCTAACTACATGCTCAAACTCTTCAAGGCAGGGGTTGTGGCACTCTTATTATCTCACTACCAAACTTATTATAATCCTCTGTTCTGATAAGATACTTATTAAATTTGGAAAATTGAATATGAAAAGAATCTTTTGCATTATTTCATAAAATTCCAAATGCAACTGGATGCCTGATCATACAATCATTCGCAGATAATATTGATTATTTCTTCATGAAATGGTTTAGTATTCATAAGAAGTCACTTCCCTTTTATGTAGAGTGCCAGAAAGTCAGAGTCATGATAGAGGTAAATACAGAAAAAGTGGGGGTTCATTCTGTTTCCTATTAATTTTTTTGTTGGTGTATAGCGCCCTGAACTTGGGATCAGAACACCTAGGCTCTAGTCTTGTTTCATTATTTTCAAGATGTGCAATCTTGAGCAAACTAGTGAATCTGAACCTTAGTTCTTGCATTCACAAAGTGGGGATGATAATACACCATTAAGCCACTGAAGAGAGTAAGTGTCGGGGGTACAAATCAGAGAGATGCTGACTCATTTACCTGTGCCACTCCCTCCCAAAGTCATATAGCTCAATGCCAAGAGAGACCTTCTTGGGCCCATTATTTTACACAAGGGGACAGTGACAACACAGTTACTAAGCAAACCTGCTTCCCAGCCATACAGGATGCTGCTTAAGAGGGCCACTTGTATCCTCACACAGAAAACAGATATGAGCAGTACAGCTAGTGGTTAGGAGAAACTCTGAGCTGGGAAGAGAGGCAAAGACTCACAAGAATCAGGAGTTAGAACTCAACCAAGGGTCACAGATCTTACTAACAGATATGAGGCCCCATTAGGAATTCTGATGTGAGCTGCTTGGGCGGCCTCACTTATGGATCCCTCCTCCATGAGCACTCTCAACATTCTTCGCATCTCATTGCACCACTGTGGTGGCTGGCTCTGTGCATATAGCTCCATGGACTGAGTGAGTCTCTCTTCAGACAGTTTTTGAGCATGCACAACCAACTTGGCTCTGCAGGATTAGAAGACACACAAATAAGGCATTGCCCTAGGAAAAATGAAAGATAGACTTTAAGCATCCCAGGTTATCTTTCTGAGATTGAGAAAAGGTATATAATTTTAAGAATCCTCCTCAAGAAGAAATTAAAAGTATGGAATGGGAAAATCTATAGAAAAGTTCTGAGACAGTCTCAGAATCCCTTGTGAGGCTGACTAGTAAAGGTGTTTCTGTCCTGAAAATGAAGAAAATGGTGTTCCTTCAAATGTAAAGACAGCAATCCAAAACTTCAAGGAAAAAAGAAAACCAAAGAAATATGATACCATCAAAGATGACAATAAATATTCAGTAACTAATCCAAGAGAAATGAAAATATATGAATTGCCTGACAAAGAATTCCAAATAATTGTTTAAAGAGAGCTTAACTATGTTTTGTGCCTCTTGAACACAGGTAGGCAATAGAACAACAAAAGATCAAGGAAACAATACATGAACCAAATGAAAAGTTCAACAAAGAGAGAGAAACCATGAAAAGAAACCAAACTGAAATTCTGGAATTGAAAAATTACAATAAATAAATGAAAAATACCGTCTAAAGCACCAGTAGTAGACTAAGTTAAGGAGAAGAAAGAATCTGTGAACTTGAAGACAGGCCACTTGATATTGCCCACTCACAGGACAAAAAAGAAGAAAGAATGCAAGGGAGCAAAGGGCAGAGCAGAAATAAATGAAACAGATAATGGAAAAACAATATATAAGATTTTTTTTTAAAAAAACTAAGAATTGGTCTTTTGAAAAAAATCAACAAAACTTTAGCTAGATAAAGAAAAAAAGAGAAAAGGCTGAAATAAATTACAAATGAAAGAAGAGACATTTCAACAAATACCATAGAAATACAAAGAATCATTAAGAACAAATTATTTCCAACAAATTGGATAACCTTAAAGACATGGATACATTTCTAGAAATACAAATGTACTAAGACTGAATCAAGAAGAAACAGAAAATCTGATCAGTCCGACAATGAGTAAGGATATTGAATCACTAATCAAAAATCGCCAACAAAAGAAAGCCCAGGAACGATGTTATCACAGCCGAATTACAGCAAAAGTTTAAAATTCTACTTGAATTCTTCCAAAAATGGAAGTGAAGGGAGTACTTCCAAACTCATTTCAAAAGGTCAACATTACCGTGATTTCAACGTTTGATAAGGACACCAAAAGGAGAGAAAAATCATAGGCCAACATCCTTGATTATAAATGCAAGTCTTCAGTGAAATACTAGCAAACAAAATCCAACACATATTAAAAAGAACATCCACTATGATCAAGTGATATTTATCTTTCAGGTGGAAATCAATAAATATAACAGAAACTGATTAAAAGTCATGTGATCATTTCAATTGATGCAGAAGAAGCCTATACTAAAATTTACATCCTTTAATAATTAAAAATCTGAACAAATTAGGTATAGAAGGCATATACCTCAGCATAATAAACGCAATATATGACAATAATTCCATAGCTAATATGATACTCAATGATGAAAAGGTGAAAACTTTATTTCTAAAATCAGGAACAAGACAGAATGTCTCCTCTTACCACTTCTATTTAATATGGTAGTAGAATTTCTAGCTAAAGCAGTTAGGCAAGAAAAAGAAATAAAAGGAATACAAATCAGAAAAGAAGAAGTAAAGTTTTCTTATGACGTGATTATTTATATAGAAAACCCTGAAGACTCCACCAAAAAAAAAACCCATTAGAATTGATGAACAAAAAAGTTGCAGAATAGAAAATCAACATGCAAAAATTGATACATACTAACAAATTATTATCCAAAGTAAAAAATTTTTAAAATAGTCTTGTTTATAATATCAAAAATAAATTATTTATAAATAAGTTTAATCAAAGATATGAAAAATCAGTAAATTGAAAACTATAAAACATTGGTGAAAAAAATTGAAGAAGCTAATGAATAATAAATGGAAAGTTAATCTGCATTTATGGATTCAAAGACTAATTATTGTTAAAATGTTCATGGTATATAAAATGATCCACAGATTCACTGCAATTCCTATCAAAATTCTGATGACATTTTCCACAGAAATGGAAAAAAATCAATCTTCAAGTTTGTATGGCATCACAAAAGGCCTTAAATAGTTAAAGAAATTTTGAGAAAAATAAACAAGGTTGAGGCATCACACTTACTGATTCTAAGTTACAAAAGTAAAGTATG